CAGGTTGCCCTGCTCCTGCTTCTTGCCAAACGGGCATCGTCGTTGAGTCAAGTCGTGTCGCTTCTTCTTGCCTTAAAATTGTCGAAACCAACTGAGAGCGCTCTCCCTCTCTCGATCCTTATTCTCAAACACTAGCTCTATAATCCCCAAATCTCAATTTTCCCAAACCAATCTGATTTTCTGTTTTCATTTTTGAGTTTTTTTTTTTATTTTTATTGTCGTAGCTGTTTTGTTAGAATGGTCCCCAAATTCCACATCAGCAGGCAATCAAGCCGTTTGAGCTATATCAGATGTTAGAGGTGGGATCCACATGTACACGTCACACCCTCAGATTGGTGGGAAAAATCCCAGCTCAGTTGAATGGACCAAATTACCCCTGCCACGTCATTGGTTTAACGGAATTTAGAATGGCGTTGACGGAAAGTGGTTAAGTGAAACACGAAACATTGGTCAAGGGGTCAAAGTGGGTCACTTTTAACTTTGAAGGGGTAAAGTGAGAATTGACCAATGTTTTAGGGGGCACATATTTAGCATTTTTTTTTTTTTTTTTTTTTTTTTTTTTTTTTTCCTTCTCCGTGGTGTTGAATGCAGTTGCAGAGGGTTTATAAGCTACTGGAGCAATGAGCATTTGCATTTATAGGCTTCGACGGTTCGTGGGCTTAATCATTGATCTTCCTGGTGTAAGTAAAGTTTAGAATTTAGAGTACTTTTTTCGAATCAAATGCATGTCAAAATCTTGCCTGCTGGGTGTTTGATAAAATGCCTCTGTTACTATGACCCTTATAAAATTGTTGCGTATGTACTTGTAATGGCTCTTTAGATGATCCCTTACACTTTGGTATCTTCACTTTTACTATATAACCGAGTTAATGTTCACAATATAAGATGTAAAAACCCAATATTGTTTCTTTCAGTCAAGTTCCGTGGGCATTCGTTTAGAAGTTTCAATCTTGGTTGTTTGAGAAATTCGTAAATTGTGACAGTAGGCATTTGATATATGATTGTAGACTGCAAGGATAGAACAAACAGCAGAGCTACAATTTTACAGTATTGTGGCTGCAAAGAAGTTATGGAATGAAGCAGCCAAGGTATGTGTTATTTGAATCCCATGGAGTTTTTGCTTCCATATTTGCAATTACATGGTTGGGAATGCACATGATTATTTCTCCACACTCTAGCCATTTGAGTTAGTAGATTCTGTTTGTGCCTGTTATTTTCTTAACAAAGTCACCCTAGGTTGTCCTGTTCCCCTTCCTGTACTTGTTTGGTAAATGCTTACTAGAAGTTATTATAGACTTTAATTAGAAATTTTTAGTACCTTTTCACTCATTAACACTTATGCTAATAGCGTAAGTAGTAGAAACACACATAAAACATTTACTTGATCGTCAGCAAGAAAAGACCAGAAGTGCTTCAATAGCCCGAAAAGAGAGAGAGGAAAAACACTATTAAAGAGTTCAACCAAACCATACACAATAAGAAGTGCCTTTGAAATGATAAAAAATACTCTTAAAACACACTCTCATTTAGATTTCTTATTTTACTAAAATCCATGATCCTCTCTGTAATTCTTGATAGTAAGACCAGTATCTAACTCTTCCCCTCGTTTCCATTCATGAAATGGTCGCAAGCCATCTCATTTTTTTGCTTTTTTCAAAAGGTGATCCTCCCGAATAGCCTGAAATTTGGCGACAAGTTTGTCTCTAGATGGCCAATTATCTTTGATTATAGGAGCATCTGCAAAAGTCAGTTTCCATGCTGATAGCAATGGAAACTCTTCTTCTGTTAACAATTTCATTCCGGTTACGTCTTCAAACACACTACTCTCATATTGTGAAAGCCATCCAAGTGCAATATCTACAAATCCAAGCTTCTCTCCCCCAAAGAATTTCTTTCCCTTTAGCTCTTCTTCCAAGTACTTCAAGTTCTCCTTGGCTTTTACAATAGCTTCCTCTTGCTCTTTCCCATCGTTGGTAAATGACTCCCAAATAGATGGCAAAACCTTCATGGCAAATCACAAACCAACCAAACAATCAAACAATGAAAAATATTTTATTGACTAACTTTCTTTTGAATTAGCTTCAAATCGGATGCCACATATATCATCTACATAATACACTTCCGTTATATTTACTTTTATTTTTTGCCTAGAAAAACTTAGTCAAGTGTGAAACTTAATATGAAAATTTGCAGAGTAACTAGTACAAAATTATTGTGCCATATTTAAGTTTTACAAATATCTGATTATGAAAGAGTGCTTTTAGGTTACCTTGTCATCACCAAATTTGGCCCAAAAGCGTGCAGCGGCTCTCTCAAGAGGATCTTCAGGCAGCAAGGGATTTTCCTTCCAAGTTTCATCAATGTATTCAAGAACTACAAAAGACTCAACAATTGGTTTTCCATTGTGCACAAGCACTGGAACCTTTTTATGAATAGGGTTATACTGAAGAAGCAAAGGGCTTTTGTTTGAAAGATCTTCATAGATTGTTTCATATGGGACACCTTTGAGTTTCAGTGCCCAAACTATTCTCAAAGCAAAAGGACTTGACCATGTCCTAAAGAGCTTCACTTCTGCCATTTTTGCTGTTAATTTGAGCTATGATCTGCTAGCCTTTTATGCTTAACTTTCACCTTGGAATTTTGCCGAGGTGCCCTAAGCTTTCTTGTATTTCTTTATGAAACCTTCTATATTGGTAAGTATGACTTGGTCCCTAGAAATTATGACATGTTAATTTCTTGCTTGCTCTTGAAAGAAAAAAGACATGGGCTGCTCAGAAATATTTTGCTCGCAAGTATTTTTTTATAATAGCAACGATAGTCTAAACTACAAGTGGGAGAGGAGTTTTCACAGGCACACTATGAAGGTGTCATGGAGGTTCAAACATAAGACCAGGTATTTGCAAAGCAAGCTCCTTTTTCACTGGCTTAGACTTGTTGGCCATCACAGTACAAGTTTTAGTAGTGTTATTTTGCAACATTATGATTTTCAAGTTTCTTTCAAAAGAATCAAAATTCTATTAGTTTCATTTTATATAAATTCATTTATAGCACTTGAGAGAAGAAATAGTTTAAGAAACCATCACCGCTGTGAAATTAGGAAAAATATGGGGAAAAAGTGTGTGTAAAGAAAAAGAAAGGGTTTCTGTTGTAAGCTCCGATGTCGTCGTCACCAAAAGAGGCTTCTATTTGTTATCTTCCCAGTCTGGACGTCTGTTTTTGGCCCATGTGCCGGCTATGTACAGATGCGCTTTGGAAAATTAAATATCAAGTGAGACATGAGTTGAAAAGAAAAACAAAAAAACCCTATTATGGTTTTTATTTTTATTTTGTTATATACTAGTAGTGATTGTCTAAACTAAATGGAATGGTGGTTTCTCTCTCTCACACACAACAAAAATGTCATATCATGAGAGTTCGAACCTAAAATTTTCCTCTACAAGTTATGCCGTTTTCTGCTAGGCCACATTGGCAAAAATGGCTAATTAAATTTACACTTCATTTTCATAAAAATAAGAAATCATGCTAATGTTATACCTAAAATGATAAATTACTTAATGCTAGCTTTTTTTTAGGGTTAAATACCTTTTTGGTTATTGAGTTTTACATGACAATTCAATTTGGCCACTGACAAAAAAATTTAGCCCCAAATTGGTCACTGTGTTTCCCAAAGTTTTCAATTTATAGAAATTCTGTTATTTTCAATTAAGTGCAATTTTTATTTTTATTTTGTTTTAGGAAATATGTTCAGTTTCTTCCTTTAACTCAAAGAGTTAGGGTATATTATGCTATTAGTGCTTAACAAATTGGGAAAAATCTTGGGGTTAAATCAAAATTGTGAGGCATTAGGTCAACGATTGAATGCTATATTGAAGCATGAATCAATTGAGTGAGTATCGTATTGTGATTTCAGATGGCAAAGAGACGTAATCAAGGTGATAGAGCACCAAATATATTGGTAACTTGTTGATTTCATTTTAATTTTGTTTGTTTTTTTTTCCTTATACCTCGCAATTTCGATTGCAACCCAAGATTTCCCCCAATTTGTTAAACCCTAATAGCACAATATACCCTAATTCATTGAGTTAGAGGAAGAAGACTAAGTGTGCTTCTTAAAAAAATAAAAATAAAAACTACACTTAACGAAAGATAACAAAATGTCTATAGATTGTCAACTTTAAAAAACACAATGACCAATTTGACTAATTTTTTTCTCATTGACTAAAAAAATATTTAACTCTTTTTAAGAGGAATTTGTATCCATAAAAGTGTTTATATTAAATTTTGTTTCGGAAAGGAAGGAAATGTTGAACCCCGTGTGTTGACACTTAGCATGCCAAGGGATTGGAGATTTTTGTACCTTGAAAAATTTTCCAAATCTGATGCCAATGTTAATGAAGAAATCTTAAGATGTTTAGAATGAAAAATTGTGAACCTTTTTACTCTTAACTTACGTGGGGTCGTAATTCAATCCACTGTGTGGTGGAGATTGGGCTTGGGGCCCGAGAAAAGGTAGAAGCGGCTTCGCTATTAAGGAGGAGGTTGCATAATAAGTCCCACATTGGAAAACCCCTCTATGCATCAAAGCTTTATATATGGTCGTTTAACAACAAAGCTTGTCCCTTCGGGGACATCCGATAAAATTGGAACGATACAGAGAAGATTAGCATGGCCCCTGCGCAAGGATGACACGCATAAATTGAGAAATGGTCCAAATTTTTTTTGCCCTTTCTGAATTTTTTTTCCCTGCCCTCCATGGCTCCATGGTGCTCAATGCAGTTGCAGAGGGTTTATAAGCTACCGGAACTAGGAGCATTTGCATTTATTGACTAACTTTCTTTTGAATTAGCTTCCATTATATTTACTTTTATTTTTTGCCTAGAAAAACTGAGTCAAGTGTGTGAAACTTCATATGAAAATTTGCAGAGTAAGTAGTACAAAATTATTGTGCCATATTTAAGTTTTACAAGCATATGCTTATATCTGATTATGAAAGAGTGATTTTAGGTTACCTTGTCATCACCAAATTTGGCCCAAAAGCGTGCAGCGGCTCTCTCAAGAGGATCTTCAGGCAGCAAGGGATTTTCCTTCCAAATTTCATCCATGTATTCAAGAACTACGAAAGACTCAATAATTGGTTCTCCATTGTGCACAAGCACTGGAACCTTTTTATGAATAGGGTTATACTGAAGAAGCAAAGGCTTTTGTTTGAAAGATCTTCATAGATTGTTTCATATGGGACACCTTTGAGTTTCATTGCCCAAACTATTCTCAAAGCAAAAGGACTTGACCATGTCCTAAAGAGCTTCACTTCTGCCATTTTTACTGTTAATTTGAGCTATGATCTGCTAGCATTTTATGCTTAACTTTCACCTTGGAATTTTGCCAAGGTGTCCTAAGCTTTCTTGTATTTCTTTATGAAACCTTCTATATTGGTAAGTATGACTTGGTCCCTAGAAATTATGACATGTTAACTTCTTGCTTGCTATAGAAAGAAAAAAGATATGGTCTGCCCACAAATATTTTGCTCATCACAATGCAAGTTACCAAGTTATCATGGGGTTCGAATAATTGACTAGGCGTTTACAAGTCAATGCCCTTTTTTATTGAGCCAAACCTGTTGACCATCACAATGCAAGTCGTTGTGTTATTTTACAATATTATGAATTTCAATTTTCTTTCAAAAGAATCAAAATTGTATTTAGTTTCATTTTTTTATAAATTTATTTATAGCACTTGAGAGAAGAAAAAGTTTAAGAAGTCATTACCATTATTATGACATTAGGAAAAAGTTTAAGAAGTCATTACCATTATTATTACCATTATTACGACAGAATTTTCGAGGGTTCTGTAAGTATGATATCAAATGATGATTGCCAGTCTAGACGTCTGTTTTGGGTCCTAAGGCTATCTCCAGTCATGGGCTATATCCCAAATATAGCCCTAAAATAATGCAAAACCCATCTCTAGCCAGGGAGCTTCTACAATGAGGAGTTAAAGTGAGGAGGTTATTTGAGGAGACCGATCCGACCGTCAAAACATTTAAAATATTTAAGTCCCATGATTTCTTTACATTTGTTGATGGTGAGATTTGACCTTCTCAAATAACCTCCTCACTTTAAGCCCTCATTATAGCCTTTCCGCTCTAGCCATAGGTTAAATAAAATTTTGTCCAAATTTGGAGGGCCACATTTGGCCCTTTAACCCTCCAACCGGGCCACATTTAGCCCAGCTTTAGCCTAGTCCTAGGCCAAATTTTTTGTGGGCTCCATGCATGTGCTTTTCATTGATAATGTCAGTTGGATATATATATATATATATATATTTAAAAGCCTTTATAAATGTTTTCAATTCGTAAAAAAATTATAAAAAATTATTGGTCATGATTGTTGGATGTCAAACCATTGAAACCCATCCTTTAAAAAAAATATAGTCACCTTTTCAAATGTTTTCAAGTGTTGTTTTAAAAAAATTATAAAAATTCTTGGTCATGGAATATTGTCTCTAAATGGTAGTTTAATTAAATTAAACAATACATAGTTGTGGAATCTATGTGTTGTACCACAGTGTTTCTCAAAATAATAAAATATGAAGGACCCTAAAATATAGCCTCACATGACTGGAGATGGAAAAATTTAGCCATACACTATTATTTAAAAAATAAATATTTTGGACGGCTAAATTTTTAGCCATGGACTACATTTAGCCCTATGACTGGAGATTGCCTAACTTCGTAAGTGGAGACATCTACAGGTGCGCTTTGGAAAAATCAACTATCAGGTCATACTCGAGTTGGAAAGAAAAACCCTATTAGGGCTTTTATTTTTATTATTTTTAGTACATATTATAGTCTAAAATATATATAGAATGGAGGGGAGTTTTTCACAGACAATCAAGATGTCATAGAAATTCAAACATGAGACCTTTTGTCTACAAATTAAGTTATTTTTAACTAGGCTAGGTCCTGTTGACAAAAATGGCTAATTAAATTTACACTTCTTTTTCATCACCAACAAAAAAAAATTCATACTAATATCATACCTAAAAGGGTAAATTACTTAATACTAGTTTTTTTTTAAGAGGAACTTGTATCCATATGAAATTGTAATTGTTTATATTGGCGTGTAAGTGACCTAAATAAATAAGAAAAATTATTAGTCATAAATAGTTTAGTAATAAGGATATTGAAAAGGACTAATTTTGCTTGAAAATGACATTGTTACCCTTTTGTGTAAAAGCCTTGCCCATAAGGTCGTGATTGATGCCTTGGAAGATCTGCCCAATATTACAAGAGATTTGTACCTAACGGATTAAGATACAATCACACACATAACACAAATGTTTGAGTGATTCACCTATAATAGGGCTACATTTACTATAATTTATAACTTTGTATTTATATTTGAATATGGAGATTTACATGAGAGAGATATGGGGAGAGAGGCTTAAGAGCTCTTGTAGAAGAGAAATAGAGGGCTTGGGAGAGTGCTTGGAGGTGGTAAGCTCCCTTTTGTAGTCCAAGTAGTGGTAGAGAATGCATGACTATCCTTGATTTGGGGATTCTACATGGCCTCCCCCTGATATGGGGCCTTGGGCATTGATAAGGCATGGGAGGGGGCATGGCTAGCTACTCCTTGTTTGGTGGGATGTGAGGTATGACAAGCAAGGGTTATCTCTTAATTGGTGGGATTTGCTTAAGGGGAAAAGTGAGGTCAACATGGTGTCAATAATGTGGATTGCTAATCCTAGCATCCCCGTGTCATGGAAGTTTTTCTCGTGCTTTGGAGCTGGTTTCTACATGTTTTTTTTTAAAAAAATTTTTAACTTTGCTTTTATATTTCCTGTTATGACCTAAAGCTGCCCTAATTTCTTCCATGTCGTTGTGACTAGACCTGGCAAATAGATCGTGTTTGTCGTGTTCGTGTCAACCCACTTTTTTTAAAGGGTGGAAAATACTCAACACGAACACGACCAATTACAATTCACGAATGACACAACACGACCCATTTCACCTATTTCAAAAATATATTTCTTAGCAAATTGTTAAATGAAAACACATTATATTAAACAATAATACAATATGAAGTTTAAATCTTTAAATAAAACATCTTTTAGCAATATATACCCAAAAATATCAAGAATGACCATTCACTAAAGTTCAAAACAAAAGCTAAATTGTGGTTTAATGAATAAGAGTAAGAGTAAAATTTAATTTTAAGTTATAGAAAAGCTTAAAATTAACAAGTATAAAGTAGCACCCATGAACATAGAAAAGCTTAAGGAGAAAAATAACAAGTATAAAGCAGCACCCATGAACATAAATTTAGTATTAAGTTATATAAAGAACTAAATTTATAATTTGTTATTGAATGAATAAGAGTAAAATTGAAATTTTTGTGAGAAAAACAATAAGAGATTGTATTTAAGAACATAAACAAAATAATAATATGGAATGAGAGGAGCATGTCATTGGTGGGGTTAGATTGTATTTGTAATCAAGAGCCCAAATAATCTTAGGAATTTAAGTAATTAATCAACAGTATAGAATAATAAGAAAATAAACAAAAGAATAATATGGAATGAGAGTTGCATGCCATTGGTGGGTTAGATTGTATTTGTAATGAGCAGAAAAACACCTAACCTGTCCAAGAATAAGGATCTTGGATGAAGAGAGATGTAAATGTAAGGATTCAGCTATCAACGAGGACGAAGAATAATGATAAAACTTGTATAAATGCACCACAACCCACCAAATTATATTAAATGGGTATAGGGTTACAGTTTTATAATTCTCAATGCTTTTGAATGGATGTATATGATTAATGTGTAATTTGACCAAGTACTCCCTCCTCCTTTACAATATAATTCACTAATTAACAATAATCATATCCAAAGGTGGTTAACTAATTATATTATGTTAATAAAAAAATCTTAGGTTGAACACTTTTTATTTATTTATAGAAATTCAGAGATTGCATTCATAATTTAGCTTAAAAAATCAATTGCTACAAGAAGTCAATACAAACTAGCCACAAATGGTCATTACAATAACGGAGCAATCTAACATCAAAATTAAGATAATCTGGTGTGGCTTCACTAACGATCACGCAGGATCGAAGAAACTCCGACTTAAGCTTAATTTAAATATATTAATAGTACCAATAATGAAAAAACTCTTTAAAATGTCACATCAATAAAACGTTCTAATTCTGAAACACTAAAAACATGTACAGCTTAAATAACAAAGAGTGTGATCGTCCAAGTCATGCTTTTATAGCTTGAAATATATATAATAAACAATTGATTTATTAAGAGTCACAGCCTTCATGATATGAAACAATAAATTAGAACTTGCAATAAAAGTCACAGTTTTAATTGATGTGTTAGAAAATAAGATCGAACTTATAATGCTTGTTGTACTGAATCAAAAAAATAAATTTGTTTTCTTCAAACATATTTTTTGATTTAAATAGTTTGATTTGTGTGAAATATTGGAGTGAACTAAATGTAATATGATAAACATTTCCGACAAGTCTTACCCAAAACCATTAAGCCATGTACTTAGTGAAGTATGTGTTTATACCATTCGAAAATAAGACTGCTTTTCAAAACAGTAATTCTGCTTTTATAGGATTTGGAAGGTGTTATCAGGAACTCGGTTGGAAATTGGTTTGGTGATTTTGCGGTAAATTTAAGGAATTGTGAAACTTTGGAAGCTTAGCTTTAGGGTTTTCTCTTTGATTGAAGTTAGCTGTGAACAAAGGAATTTACACCCTATCAGTGTTGATGGATTCTGAAGTTGATGTTACTCGCTTGCGGAATTCTAATGTGTTGTCTTCGCATCCTCTTGCTACTTTAAAATCTGGTTGCTTGGACATAATGCCAGATTAAAAGCCATATTGCAGCTCACATTTATCATGGGAAGAATGATGCGGCTAATAGGCTTGCCAATTGGAGTTTTAATTTGGATCTACAAAACATATACTTCCTGGGTTGGTTTATTGATAATCTAATTGAGGTTGCTAAGCCTCGGCTAGTTGGTGTTCGTTGATGGGTCTTTTATTTTGGAATCTTGAGGTTTCATAAAAAAGTCATCTTTATAAATTCCATTGGAAATTAAGAGGTTCTCTTTTGTTTTTAATTTTTTTACTTATATTTTTAGCATTTTAATAGTTTAAATGTTATTTTGCTTAAAGCTATAAATTTCCCTTACTATTACCAGAAAATTGGATAAAATTCGAAAAAAGTAAAATCAATTCCCATATCCCCTATTTTTATATATTTTAGGCCCTTAATTAACCCCGAAAAAAGTTCCAAGGACTAAATTGACATTAGCGTGGTAATTTAATAGGAAAAATAGGTATACCAAATTTTTTGACAAAAGAGTTTTCTTTTAAAAGCATTATTATATTATTAGAAAATATATATTATGCCGTGCACGCATGGCAACAACATGGCTAACATTTGAATAAATAAGCGTTTCCGCTTGTGCAACATCAAAAGACTTAAGCGTATTTGCTAAAATAGTTGTCATATACTCATTCTTAGAGCACTAATGATATAGATAAATCATACACCATTTAATTTCTATAAACAAACCTATAAAAAACTCAAAAAATTACAACTGACCCTATTGAATTTAATTTTGATTATTAAATTACTTTGATACTCTATTGAGTGTTTTGAGTTTTTTTAATACAAATTTATAAATAAACTCAATCCTAGACATGTATTTATAAAAAAAAACCCCAAGCACTATTTAAACATAGAAACACACCCAAAATCAACCCCCAAAATCAACAATTGTATATTTTTTGGGTGTGTTTATAAATGGGTTTTGAGTGTGTGTAATAATGGGTTTTTGGTGTGTTTATAAAGTGTTTTGAGTGTTAGTTTTTTTTATGATTTCAGCCCCCATTTTGGGTGTTTTAGTGAAATTCCCTTTTTTTAATAAGGTTTTGGGATTGAGCTTGTTTTAAGAAATTGATGACAGTTTTGTAATTTATAAAAAAAATTAAAAGCTTTTTTATTATCTTGTAAATGAGCTTTGTATGTGTTTTTAAAATTCATTTTACATAGAATTTTTTATTTATTTAATAATTTGGGCTCTTATATTGGGTATAATAGTGAATCTCTCAAAAATAAATAACAAACAATCCCTTGACAGTTGCCGTAGAGGATCTTTTCTTTATACGTACGTTGCCTGAAAAGGTCAATTCAATGCTCCGATACCAAAGGATCTTTTCTTCCTTTATCATCCAAACGAAGTCGCAAAAGGCCTCTCTGTCTACTAGCTCACTACTTCGCCATGGGACAGGTGCTGGACAGACTACAAGGTACCACTTCAAAGCTTTCATCGATTTTGATGTAAAAACAAAAGAAAGAAACAAGCTTTAACAGATAAACGTTTGTAATTCTTTCGATCCCAATAGTGTTTCTTTCCCAGCTCTGAATCTTTCGTTTTGTAGATCATAAAGAGCCCACTAATTTTTCTACTGGGCTTTCGCTTTCTTTCTTTCTTTTTCTTCCTTTTCTTAATTTTTCATTTTAGTTTGGATGGGTTTGTGTTGCTATGCCATCCTTCCGCACTTGTGGGATCTGCAAATGATGTTGAATCACAGAGTCATGCATTAGCTTTTATGGGTTCTAAGGCCAACTCACTTCGAACATTAACACAACCCTACTGGTCCTCTGTTTTGAGTGATAGGTTTCCTCAGATGCAGTAGAAAGTTTGCTTTTTGACATCAAATTTATGCCCATGTTTTCATATCTTTTTTGCTGTACTGAATTTTAGATGTGATGGTCAAGATGATACCTTTGGCCATCCATCAAAGAAATTTGTAGATATTCATCCTAACAGACAGTCTGACATGTTTCATTACTTGACATGAATCAGAACCCTTAATTATGTTTTCATTGTATCTGATAGTTTTCCACCTTGCAGGTAAGCAATGGAGGCGAAAGCAAATACAAAAGATTACAGACAAGGTGTTTGATCATTTTAAAAATGAGTCAGGAAGGGCTAACTTGACATTTGAAGATCTGTACATTGGTGTACTACTTGTGTACAAGTGAGAAGCTTATTTTTTTTCCAAATGTTTAGCTGATTACAAAATCATTCTGCTGGTGTCCACATTATTCTAATTGAGGTTTTTTTTCTTTCTTTCTTAATCTTCTTGTTGTAGTGATATCAATAAGCGTTTACCTGGCCCACATTTTGATCCACCCTCCAAAGACCATGTCAAAGCTTTGCTTCAGGTACTCTAATCGTTGATGAACGTTGACCCATTTTGTTCCTACTGCTTCATAGGTTTTTGAGTGGCTGCTGAATTTAAACAGCTTAAACATAGAGGATGAGTTAAAATCTAGGAAGTACCTAAAAGTACATCAGTTTTCTCTTATAAGGATTTTTTGTTCGTTACAAACAAACTGATGAAATGAAATTTGTTAGTATCAAACCATTTACACATAAGATAATTTCCTTTGAAAATATCAATGATATATGCCCCCATTTGGTAGGAAATTTCATATAAATTGTGAAGTCAACGTAATGGATTCTTGACTTAATTTTCAGGTGCGGCCTTTCTTGCATCCTCCATAAGCTTCAATCACATTATTTTATGTTTCTTGAGTTTTAGGTGTTACTGCAACGGTCAAGTAGTAGAACCAAGTTTTCGCTTACTAAGATTTGTGATCCAGTTTTAGTTTTGGATTAGGGAAAGCTAGTTATCCGCACAAGTTATCTGCACATATTCAATTTAATAGAGCACAACTGCTAGTTTTTTACTCTGACAATATTTTATATTTCAACTTTAAACTTACTAAAGTCAGTTAGACCCATAAAACTCTTATTTATCAAGATGAACTGAATCACCTTTAAGTTGCTGTTTGCGACCTTTATGCTTCCTGTTTAACATTTATTTTTCATGGTCTGAAAGAAACAGCCCTTTGTCTTTCTTTATTTGGTCTGGTTTAGCATGATTTGACATAGTACCAGTTTGTTTGAGGGTTGGGTTGCAATAAAAGAGGTTCTATAGACATGACCGATGATTTCTGCTTTAAATTTATTTGTCTGTTGATTACCTAATTTAAAAGTACTCATTTTGACTGAAAAAATTCATCATCCTAAGGCAGCTATACTTGTTTCAATAGGTTTATTGGTTGAGTCATTAATGGAAGTCCTAGCCTGGCTAGTTCTCTTCAGAGACATGCTTTTTCTCTTAAATTGATTCTACTGTCTTCTTGTATGTACAATTGCCTTAGAGAAAGGCGATTGGTGTTTGTGATGTAGATGTTAGGTTGGAAGTTATAAATTTTGTGAGCTGGGTATCATCCTCTGTCTCTTTGACTGACTAAAAGGGAATCAAGTTCTTGAGTTCCCTAATTTGGGAAATTTGATTAGAAAAATAGGCGGTGTTTGGACGTTGATGAGAAATGGGTTGTTTAACTGTTTGATATTTGGCATTTGAATGACAAGTTGATTGCATAATCTGGATAGATAACTGTGATGGCCTGCAATTTTTAATAGAAATCCATCATATCATCCTAGTCTTTATGTGAAATTATGCATCAATGTGATTGAAATTATTGATAGCCTTTTAAAATTGGACTGTCAGGAATAGTATCTTGAAGAAATGACTTTCTATGTTTAATAACCTTTTGTTTCTGCAGTTTGTTATGCAACGGAAAATTGTCGTCATTGTTTGCTAGTAAGAATTCATGTTGAGAGTTTGTCTAAGGTGCTCTTTTCAGGAAACCTAAAGAAAACATAACAGAGATTCTGAGCCTGTTATTCTTTTTTAGACAATGTTGAATCCAATGAATTTTGTAGTACTAGTGAGTTTAGTTATGCATTGCATAGAAGTACATAGAAGACTACAATTAACTTTTGTCAACAGTAAAAGGTCGTGTGTTGGGAAAAGAGGCCAGTAGCTGTTCTTTTTCTTTTCCAGCTTACTTCCACGTGAAAGACTACAACATGGTTATCTCAAATTTAATGAGAAGAAAAAGGAAATTCAATGATATTTACATCTCCTTGCTGGGATCTTGTTAAGTGCAGTTTTGATATTGTTACAGCTCCATGTTCCAAAGTCAGTATCAAACTGGGAGATGTGAGGGAGAATTCCTTGGCTGAGCCGTTTCTTTGAGCTCGACATTTTGCATCTGTTGTGTAGTCCTTTATTGACTTTGATACTTAGTGTCTTGGGTGTTCTAGGGGTGCTTGGTTGTAGATGTAGGCTCTGTGTTAACAAATACTTTACTCTCAATACATGGTTGGATCTTGTTGAATATTTAGGAGATTTGTTTAATTGGCATTTGAATGCCGAGCTGATTCCATAATCTTGGTAACCATGACCATGGATAAATCATAACATCTGTTCTATCTTTTTTGTTTCTTGAGGATTCTCTTTCAGTAACTTGCAGAGCTTTAAAACTTGTTATCCTATTAAGCTATAGTTCATACTGAGTAGAACCACATAGAAGATTGTTCACTCAGTGTATTTGCAGGAAACCGATATCAATCTCGATGGAGAAATTGACCGTGAAGAGTTTACGAAGTTCATCAAGCAGCTGACAGCCGACACATTCATTGTAGTCAGTCAGGGACTGATCCTGACATTGGTTGCAGCACCAACAATTGCAATGGCAACGAAGAGGGCTACAGAAGGTGTACCAGGCATTGGGAAGGTGGTGCAGAGGTTACCCAATTCAGTTTATGCATCCCTTCTGACTCTTGCTGTTGTCTTGTTTCAGCAAGCGAGCCAAGAGTTCTAAGTGCCGAAAGTTTGTTCTAGGCTCAATCTCTTAATTTCATGTTCTATTTAGGAAGACTTTATATAGACGTTGTGGGTAAAAGAAGTTTGTCGTCGTCACGTTCGGGACGTGGTATGTGGCATGCTTTTTTTTTTTTTTTTTTTTTTTTTTTTTATGTATGAATGGTTTGTATACAAATAAAGCAAGAATCCCATTCATGCAAACTTAGTTTGAACTTGATGACAGTTTTCAAATCTCAATATAAATATAGAAAACTTGGATTTCATTGAGCTGAAAATCGAAATGTATTTTTGATTATTAACCTCTAGTGCACAAAAGTCTCAAATACGTGCAGGTGTAGTAATTTTTCCTGAGAGGCCAAACTGAGCACATATTAAATCTCCTCACTTTGCTTGCAAGAAAAGGAAACCGAGAGAATCCCGCTGTCACGATATAAGGATGTGAATGCAGATTCATATTTCGAGATTGTTCTCAAGATAGAAGGCTCACTAGCAACTGAGTCAGTTGATACAACAACGGCAGAGCTGTGTCCGAGTCTCTAGGATTCCTCAAGTTTCCTAGGAAGTATCAAGAAATATCACGAAACAATGTGAGGTGGCAAGTGCCAAGTACTAGGCGGGCAACAAGTAAGAAAAACAATTTTGTTAGGGCCAAATAGTAATAGAGACATTTTATCAAACACCTGGTAGACGAACTTTCTATATGCATCCAGTCCAGCACTTGTGAACAAATAATGGAAGACCAGTCACTAAATCAATAATCAAACACTAAATTCAAACTTGGATTCACACCTGGAAGATTAAAGATTCACTCAGACCTTGAAAACCCGGAGAAAAAAAAAGGGGGGGGGGAGGGGGAGCAAAAAAAAAATCAAAAATCACGCAAAAAATGTGGACCATTTCTCGATTTATGCGTGTCATCCTTGCGCAGGGGCCATGCTAATCTTCTCTGTATCGTTCCAATTTTATCGGATGTCCCCGAAGGGACGAGCTTTGTTGTTAAACGACTATATATAAAGCTTTCATGCATAGAGAGGTTTTCCAATGTGGGATTCACGTGTGACGTATCCCATGTCTAACAAGCTCTAACGTCCTTTATTACTTGGGCCTTTCTTTGCTGATTTAATCCAAAAACTAAAAGCCCAGAAAAACCCCATTTGCCATTAATAGAGCAGTTAAGCCACCAAAATAATTTTCGTTCCAATTATTCAATAAACAAGTTCCACAGGAAAAAAAAACAAAACAAAATTCTTGAAACAAGTTTGAGAGGAGGACAAAAACTTCAGTTTCGGGGTTTTCAACAATCAAAGACCATTTGTGACAAAAACTCTATAAAATCATGAATTTAGGATCAAAATAATTTATATATAAGTCCGCATGTGAGGGTTATATGACACTCAGTTGTCATGGTTCTCCAATATTTGTTCGTTTATTAATTTAACCAATTACATGGATGAAATCTGTAGGAACATATATCAACATAATTACACTATTACCCTTGAAGAAGATAGTTTATTAAACTTCCATGTTTAGATTAAATTTCAATTTTGGTCCCTTGTTGGAAACTTGGGTACATTTAATGTACATTCATACGTACATTGCATGTGCATGTATGTACCTTCGTGTATGATCATAATAATGTACCAATTTTTGGGGCGATCGGGGAGGGTACGCGTAGGGAGACAACCAAGGAGGGCAGGAGGGAGAGACGTATATTAATAACCTCATAACCCCGATACTTCAAAAGGTATTTGTACAAAATTCTGAAACATAATGCTTCAGTCTAAAAGTCTCTACATGTATTGTTCACAAAATTATGTCCACGGTAGAAGCCATTTTAGAAATAAGAAAATGGGTGAGACAAGAATCCCCACGACCTCCCAACCAACAGGAATCTGCAACAATAAGCGGTTCATTCACTCAGATCCTGTTTCACAACACCAATTAAAGTATCAAATCATCCATTATCAATAATTGTCCCAAAAACATTACCAAAAAATGTCTTAAACAGGCTGTCCATGCCAAAAAGGCCAATCTGACAAAACCTTGGCACAACAAACCTTCATGGTAAATCTGATTTGTAAAGCTCAAAGGAGTTTATTCTCTTCACTCTTATCACAAAATAGTCTGAAGATTCACCCATATATTTTGATCATTTAAGACACCCAAAAGCCTGAAGATGCAAAGAAAAACTGAAATTTCCCTCTTTTATTTTTTATATATTAACTATGGTATCCGGCAGTTTATTTATTTCTTATTGGTATGTACAACACCCTCATGCATTCTTTCAAGTTTTATGTAATAAAACGCTGCTTTAATATGGAATCAAACAAATGAAAACAGTTACTCGTGAATAGACCTCAAGTCATATCAGCTATATACAAAATGACTAGTTTAGGATCATGTTTACTTAATTTGGAAAGCAAGAACCATAGCGAAGATGAGAATAACCAAGTAGTTTGAGGAACTTAGATATCATTTGATTGGTAGTTAACCAGTATGTCTTCCCCATAAGGCCCTACTTGGGAAGTTGTTATAGAGCTTTCCATTAGCTGTTATAGGAAGCATGGGTTACATGAAAATGGATGGAATTCTAGTGAGGGGTTTGAGTTGCTGTCCTTCGAAAGACATTTCCAAGGTTATGGTACTTTTCTTCTTGCTGTGAGCTTGTAGTGGGTACTGGAGAAGTGGAGAGGTGGAGAACGGATTAGATTTTGGATGAGTGTAGGGTTGGAAAAAAATTGCCTTTGTTTTGCTCATTTCCTTAGTTGTGCAGCTTGTCCAATTTTCATAATGTTCCCATTGCAAGATTTTAAGTCAATTCTTTTCGTTCTTTGAGTTGATAGATATGTTGGCTTCCAAAGAAACTCAACTGACCCTGAAACTGTGGAGGTCACTTCTGTCTTTGTTAGAGATTCTTCAATAATCTCCTTTTAGGTCCTGGTTGTTTTGGAGGTGGACTTTTGACTATTCTGGGGTTTGTTTCATGTAAACCAAATTTTGTAGTCCTACCTGGCTATCCATCTATTCCAATTTTCCAACTTTTTTCTGTGACTTTGAAGGCTAAGGCATCTCCTAAAGTAACAATTCTTACTTGGATAGTTGCTCATAGTAAGGCCATGTGTGTCATCTGATCCAAAGCTTAACAGATCATTCCCTTTTCAGATATACGTAGTATGGGATTTCACTAAGTTGATTCTTAGGAAATCTTGCTCCGTAGTGGTGCATAATATGTAAAGGGGGTGAAGGTGTGGGTCATTTATTTATTTATTACTCTATAGTATCACAGTTGTTGAGGTTGTTTAGGGAAGTCAAACTGAGTAGGGTAATTCCAGGGAGGGATGAAAGTTTAGGGGGAAAAGTCAAAATTTGGTTGTCACTTTGGGTTTCTGTGTCTTATGAATTTTGGAACATTCAGTTTTCTTCTATTAATGCAGCTGTTTTCTGACAGTCTAATATGTGTATTGGTTTACATTAGTTATTAGGTAGAGTATTATCAGCTTTGTTGTTTAGTCTTCACTACAAAGGGTGTACTGTATTGTGTTTTTAATAAATCTATAAAAATAAAAAGACAAGAGTTGAGAGTTAATGCTGCTTTATTAAAAAGATAAAGACTACTTTGTAACACAATACAATGAAAAATAATTTAGCATTTTCTCCAATAGAACTCCTTAGATCCCTTAGTCAGTGAAAGGTAATTGGATGAAAGTAATGGATAAGAGAAAATAAAAAGCATCGACATGCATATGGCAAACAGACGCAGAAGTCAATGAAAGGTAACAGAAAAGAAAGTCTGCTTTGTTGGCAGGATCACAGTAAGCACTCAAGAGTATCTGGTGCAAGTTGAAATATAATGATGGTAAAAGTATCACAAATCTTTGCCATTAAATACATCACTTGGATAAGACTTATCTCTAGTGGATGTATATGCCTATTAATACAAGGGTTTTTACCTTAAAAGGCTGTAGGACTACCATCATTGTAAGCCAAGTCATATCAAGAAGAATTCAGCTTTCCTAGGCTTGCTTTAGCCAAATCAATTTGTTCTGCACAATATAAACAGTGAACAAGGAAAATTGCATCAATTTAGCTATTTAAACCCAGAGACAAATACCATAGATTCAATGCAAAACTTGTTACTTTGTTCAGATGTCATTGCTTTCTGGATTGTTGTACGGAAAAACAAGTTCCCATTCTTCTGATAGACAGCCTGTGATCAAGAAAGAGCTGTATTTACATCTGTGTAAACTAACAAAGCACTCCAACCAAATAAGCTGATGAGAAGGGCAATTTGGCTTCTACTTGTAAAGAAAAAGATTAAAAAAATAAAAAGACCCCGGAAGAAAACTAACACTCGGAACATTGAAATGATGAAATGAAAACAATTTGAGCTTGCTGGCTTTCTAGAATTTAGAGTTACAATTCGAAAGATAATGACAACACTGTAGGCAAAATGTATTAGTTTAATGACTATTACTATCATTGTTATATCTACCTAGAATTTTCCATGAACAGAATCATACAACTTTGAAATGTGTAAAACAAAATTTGTGGAACTAACAAACATTTACTCTCAAAGAAAAGAAATTCTTAGCATTGATGATAGGCAGGGCAAAGAGGTTAACAAAAGCGTATTCCATATCAAATTTGCAACAATCACATACGCAATGCTAGAGATAAAACAAATGATCATCTTATTACTCCATTGCAAAAACAAACAACTAAAAACTGAAATAGATTTCAAATAGATTTCAGTTTTTATTTTTTGTTTTCACTTTTGTTATGCCTCTCCCCTCTCATCTTCTCTCTCAATCTCACACTCACTCCCATTCTCACTCTCATTTTCCTCTATAATCTAGCACAAAAATGAAAAATGAAAGATGAAAACTAAAAACTAAGATAGAATAGTTATCAAACGGGCCCTAAAAGACTGGATGCTAAGGAAAACATGAATTTCTCAACTGAACCATGTAAACCTAAACCATCTGGGCTTATGGGAAGAACCCAAACACCCAAATTACCACAACCAACTTCACTTTTTGTTTCAAAACGAAGAACCCAATTCAGAAAATTCTACACGAACACGATTCAAGTACTCTTCAACTCAATTGATGGCAACAAAATGAAATATAACTTTTTGGTTTCTGTTTTGACATAAATAAAATATACCCGAGACGGTGAAAGAGCATTGAGCTCTGCAATTGCAACCTCGTGGCTCCGTATCTGCTTCGTGAGACCAAGTTTGGGGTCTTCTGCGGCGGCACTACCGGTGTTTGCGTTAAACGACGACGTAGGAAGGCCTGCCATCTTTCAGTCTCTTTCGGTTTTATTCAGTCTTCACGGTCACTGGTTAGTCCTGAAAAATAACTCGACGCTTTTATTTTATCACCCAGAAAAAAAGAAAATATATTGTGGAAAATTTAGCAATGCCAACTCTCAATTGGTCGTGTTAATATCTTGAAAAATCAAAATCATTTTCTCCTTTTCATTTTATAAAAATGTTCTTGAACAATTCAAAAGAACATATTAGCTTCACACGATTCAAATGCGTAAGTTGTATGTTAATGTTTTTTTTTTTTTTTTTTTTTTTTTTTTTTTTTTTTGTTTGGGAATCAAGTTTCATTAATAGAAAGCTAATGACACACAACAACAAAACCAGAAGAAAAAAGAAAATGCCAATAACAATTACGTAATAGAGAAACTTAAAAAATTGAATTCTAACAAATACAACCGAAAAAGCCTACTCAAATATAATACTCAAAATAAATAACTGGCACAAAGTCAGAGACAACCAAAAACACAAGTGTAAATTACAATTTTGGTCACTGAGATTTGGCTCGAAATCAATTTTAGTTACCGTGATTTCAATTTTTCCGATTTCGTCGTTATATTAGTAGTCATTAACAAATCAGGTCACATCTTTTAATTCCGTTAGTTTAATTGCATGTGCTAAATATGATAAATGAACATGTACAAATACATACTCAAAATCGTGGAAAACCTACAATTTACCAACTCTGTTAGCGAGATTGTCAAGAAAGTCGTTATTTGCCCCCGTGTCGCCTACATTTACAATTTTTAGAAGGCATTTTCAATATCTCACTGCAGGCTCATGTTTTTAGAATTTTCACGACCATAACATTACAGTGGTACCAAAACCAACCATAATTCCTAATTTCCAAATCAACATGTTCTTAGACCTTAAGCCCTAAATCGACACAAGTCGCTCCCTATGTTCCAAATTGCTGGGAGTGAAGATGACGCGTTTGAAATTCGAAGTGGGCTTGCCTATTTGTCGCTACAGGAATCAATGTCGTGGACTGACGACAATCCTGGGACAAGATTTTGGGGCTGCATCGATTATGAGATAATAAGAGGTTGCTCATTCTTTGAATGGTATGATCCACGTGTATGCGAAAGGTCGAAGATTGTGATATGTGGGTTGTTCAAAAGATTAAAAAAACAGGAAGAGGAAAATTCAAAATGGAGATTAGAGTTGCCTTGAAAGCACAAAGAAGTCTATGAGCAAGTCTACTAGATTCGTGAAGTATTGTGATTGTATTTTTGGGAATGCAAGTAATGGAATCGGGAGAGATAGGATCATCCAAGAAGGTGAAACTAGCACTTTAATTTTAGGGATTGAATTTTAGGAGGTTTGGGTGATGTTTTTTGTGGCATTGATGGAGTCTTTTGGAGAATCAAATTGGTTTGTGTAGCCTGATTAGTCTATTTATATGGAAGTGATTTGTGTAATCTTGTAATCTGAACTGTCCGTTTGTATGAAAGTGGTTTATGTATGAAATGTTACCCAATTTTCAAATGTGTAGACTGATTTTGCATTTGTGGCTCAAGTTGTATACATACTCATCCATTTCCAAATATGTAGTTCACAAGATATAAATCAATTTCCACAATATCTTGATGGACATACACCTAAAAAAAAACAAACACATATTAGCCTACTTTTGATATTAAATGGACATACACCTCAACACACTGACACAAATGGGCCATCAATATCACGTTCTCACAAACCCAATGACAAACAACTTCAATATATAAACTCAACTACAATTCAAAGCAAATAAAAAGTTACAACAACTAAACCCTAAGTCTCTCGAATGAAACCAAAAAGCAAGAAAATAAACGGGGTTGTAGTGTAAAGCTAAGGAAATTACTTTAATGAGGAGCACGACTCCCACAACAATGAACACCCAAAGCCATCTCAATGGACAATCCACACTCGATTTCCTCCTTTGTGGTCTTTGATGGATGTGATTTGGAGAATAGGTTTCGATTTAGGGATTAGGTTTTCAATTTTGGCTCATTTGTCTGGTTTGCAGTTTGGGAATAAAACTTCGATTTGGGGATTAGTTTCCAGTTAGGGTTGGTTTTTGAATAATTGAGAGCCACGTGTAATATAGTGGGATGGACAATTCTCCAAACATAAGCTTCCAATGAGATTCCAAAATGCCCTCTAACAATTGTACACATAGGCATATAACCACTTTCCTGACGATCTTGCTAACGGTGTGGGTAAATTGTAAGTCTTTTGCAACGTACGTATTAATTCTCCCAAATGAACTTGAAAATGACTCTATGGGAGAGAAGGGGTCTTTTGTAGTTTGTCCAATAAAAAATGAATTACTTAATTAAACTAGTGCCTTTCTTATTGTGGTACAAAAACATTATTGACAACAAATGTTTTTAACTTGCGTATAAACCATTGGACTGTATTGATGTGGTACAATTAGTAGGTTTATTCATAAATGATTCTGGGTAGGCAATGTATTGTAACTTAACCAAGTTGAAGAAAGTCTTTAATATTGAGATGAATTAAATCGGTTGTGTATTTATGAGGTACTATGACGTTTTCATATTCAAAATCACATGGACCCTTAACAGAAACCTTATAAATAAACACAAACTTAAAATTTTCTCCATCCAAGAGTTCTTTCCATTTCCCAGAGAAAATAAAAACTAATTCGGTACTACAAAGCACTATGGCCGCACTCAATATGTATGCATTATTGGTCACTTTACTTTTGGTGAGTCCGTCCGGAATGATTTTTTCATGCTTTGGAATTCCAACTTCAAAGGTATTAAATTCGAAGACCTTCGATGAATATAAAAAACATATCTCCATTAAGTGCATTCGGGAAGTTAGTGCAAGTATTTTCGAAGGCAAGGCTAGTGTAACTGATGCTTGTTATCATGATCTTGCATATGTAGGCAAAAATTGCCATGATCTATTCTTCAACTTCGCTCTTGCGCCTAAACCCAATATCGACAAATTTAGAGCCTTGGCAAAGAGTGAACAAGTTTGGAGTCCATGTGTTTCAATTACAGTTTCTCCTACATCTTTTATCACAATTCCAACCTCAGAGGTATTAAATTTGAAGATCTTGTATGAATGTATAAAACATATCTCCATTAAGTGCGCTCGGGAAGTTGGTGCAAGTATTTTCGAAGGGGGGGTTAGTGTAACTAATGCTTGTTGCCATGATCTTATGTCTATAGGCAAAACATGTCATGATCGATTCTTCAACTATGTTCTTGTGTCCAAACCCAATGTTGCCAAATTTAGCGCTTTGGTAAAGAGTGCACAAGTTTGGAGTCAATGTGTTGTAACTTGCAATTACAGTTTCCCCTAACTGTTCTGTCACTTGACCAGAGAACAAAATTGATCATAAATTGATGTAGGACTATATATGGGTCATTTATGGTAGGAAATATTAATTAAAATAAAGTAGCTCAAAGTTGGAAAGAAAGTTGCTTGATTTCTTGAGAGGATTTATATTATAATTATATTTTTTAGAATAAGTTATCAATCAGGATATTATTTTCCTGATATGATTTTAATTAGTTTTCTTATTAGTTAAGTTTTAGGAATATTCTGGAACCTAGGGTTTCCTACGGTTTTAAGATTTTTTGGTTTTCTATTTAAGCCAACTCATGGCATTGTATTAATTAGTTTTATCATATTATTAATCAAATTCATAGATTTTCTCTATTTTATAGTGGATTTCATTCGCTGATGGATTTCAGTTTTTTTTTCGGGTTCAGATGTTTGTCGTAAACCCGTGCTTCCATTCTGCATAATAAATTATGTATGAGAAATGTAACATTTTAACTTAATTAATGTTCATTGAAAGGGGAAAAAAACAGAGAAAAGATATTTCAATATGTGCATTTGCAATCAGTTTAATGTCTACCGTTACTTAATGATCTTAAACAATTTAAAAGAAGAATAGTTAACAATTTTGCATTTCAACCAATTCCTCCATAGCGTTATTTTGACTATTAAAAATTGAGAGATTAACTATATAAAAAAATGCAGTTTTTAAGTGTGTTTATTCTTTAGCCGTTTCTTTTTTTTTACCCCTCAAAATAAACTTAGTCTTAAATCTTTTTGTTTAATTTTATTGGATCGTATAGTATAATTACTTCACTATTATCATGTCTATGTTTGTCTTTTCCATCATCACCCTCATTATTTTCATATTTTTCAACTTACTCGTTTTTACATTGAAGATTAAAAACACCCAATCAATTACTCGTCTTCAAAAACGTTTTCACATTCATGTCAATTGCTCTCTTGGTGGTTAGTTATGCCAATTATTTTGTAAATTGAGTGTCGTTTGCATCCATTTAATTAGGGGTTACTCGACTATCACCAAAACCCAAAATTGGGGTCAATGCCTCTAAATTTTAGTCATGTATGTTGCACGTGATGGTAACTAATGAAAATTATGACAGATTCAACGTTGGTCTTTTAGGGTAGCTGTTGGGTTTTTGCTAGTGTGGTTACATAGACAATTTTGAAACACATTCGAGATTTTCTTAGGAATAATGAGGACTTAAATTAAAACGTGGGGTGCAAGGTAACTCAAACGAATACCGGGTTCAAACATAAAAACTCTTCGGAGATTTACCTGGACGCTTTAATTTATCATTTTAGTTTTATAGTAACTTCAAAGATCATCGATGATCTTTCATAACTCAAACTAAATGACATATCAGCTACTAAAGGATCCATGAACCAACCTATCTGAACTGAAACCACAAAGATATCCACTCAAAATGAAACTTGCTTCAACAAACTAATAAATAACTAAATCAAAACACCCATAAAAAAAATTTACATTACAAACCATTTCACTCCGGAAGAAGTCAAACACAACATTTAGTCCATATTTTACAATGCTCCCCTCAATGTACTTCTTGGCACCAGCACTTAACCTGCAACAGTCTGTTCCAATCCTGTGTGAACACCAAAAGATATGAGAGCATTAGAGAGAGCTTTT